AAAGAGAGAGATGATTATTTTTGTAAAGTTGGGATCTCTAGCAAAGACGTGTTTGGTCAAGTGAGATATCTTTAAAGTTAAGTGACCTGCCTCTGGCTGCAATAAAACCTAATCTATCCTTTTCAAATGTGTGAATTTCTCTAAGGTTCTGCATAATATTATGTAATATTAGGAAATAATATGGAATATGTACTGATGTAGCTCCAATAGTTTGATAAAATGTAGTTGTTTTGCACTAGAAGTACCCGCTGATTTAATAAAAGAGAATATTACATAATCAGTAAATATAAGTGATCTTAATTTAGCTCAATTAATGGTTTCTTTTAAATTTCACAAATATTTAATTACATCATCCATCATTATCATCATCAATTATCAATCATTATCATATCATTATCATCATCATTATCATCATCATATCAATCAACATTATCATCATCATCATCATCATCAATTATATCATCATCAATCATTATCAATCATCATCATCATCATCATCATCATCATCATCATGAACTGTAGGATGAAAGGCCAGAGAGCCTGTTTCTGGTTCCTTGATTTCTAAAAGGCAAATGCACAATATTGAAAAATGGACATATAATTGTTAATTCTTTGGCAATGTTATTACTATTCTAACATGGATTTCGAATATGCTTAAGTCATTTAATTTATGTTGTATGTAAAATTTTAGTTTTATTTTTGGTTATTATAATTTTGAATTCCCATGTATTTAATTGCATGTGCATATTTCTTTAACTTAATTCTTATTTATTATAATTTAATTGGTGAGTTTTTTTACTAATTTTGAAAATATATGCATTTATAGTATCTCTTTGAAATCAACCCCTTCGAGGAAGAAATAGTCATTCAAATGTTGCAATGGGACACAAGTGGAGAGAGCCAAGCGGCTGGAGAAGAGTCCCTTCTAATTTCCTTCTACATTATTCGAGTAGGTTGAATGAACTTTTTGAGGAAATTTGGAAGTTTGTTGTTTTAAATTTATCATGTAGACATCCCTAACTTAGTAAAGCTAAAAATTCTTTTCATTTTAATATTTCATAGATTGAAGAAAACAGAAAATATCGTCTCCACAAATTATGGGATCATACTCCAATTGTAGTTCATTTCAATTCCACACGTAAAAGAGAGATCTTCTATAGAGGTAGTTTAACAAAAGGACGCTATATCATCATTCCTACTGCACATAAACCAGGAGATATTGGTGGCTACTTTCTGAGAATATTTAGCAATTCACAGATTCATTTAAGGTATAAAATATTTTCTGTATGTTTTGATTACTTGTGTACGATTTTGTTTGTATTGTTGAAGTGTTGTTTCTTGTATACTTAAAAAATTTAGATGTTATGTGTAGTTCAGAATAGGGTAAGTGAACCTTAATATCCTATTTTTAGAGATATCAAGAAGGATGTACCAAAGTAAAACATGTCCTTGCTATCCTGGTTGCTTATCCTATCTGGGCCACTTGTGATTACAATAAGGTGCACCAAAATCTACAGAAACTTCAGAATTGTAAGTAACTTGTCTTTAATCTCCAATTAAGCCATTACTGGTAAATTTCCTACAAAAATATAGAATATTAATAATTTAATTGACAATTCTTGCATCTTCCTGAATGCTCTTTTATAAAGAATGTTTTCTTAAATAGTATTAGCAAATGTGCAAGTGTTCTTGGCTGTCTGGGTAACGCTTCTTCAGCGTCCTCCCAAGTCAAAGATACATAGTAAAAAATCAAGGTAGTAAGTATCTGTGCCCTTCTTGCTAGCAATAATGCATATAAAAAAATATGGCTGGTGGCCCACCCTGAGAAAGGCCACGAAAATGGTTGAAATGTCAGCATCATAGCCTTCGACGCGGCATCACCTGGGCATCCAAGAGCACTTACAAGACTCTGGCCATGGAAGCCTATGACTTCATATAATCAAATGTGTTGATTTATGTAACACAACCAAGACTAGTATCAAAGAAACAAAAAAGGATATTTGTGTGTAATATATTAGTAATCATGTACAATCACCCAGGATTTTTCTCGGTGGGACGGCTACATCTACAGCAGGCCTGAGGAACTTAAACTCAGATGAGATCTACTTTTATAAATGAAATCCAAGATGATCAACTACTGCCTGTTTGAATGTTATTAGGAAGGGGAGACTTTGCTTTTTACTAAACAAATTAAACCTGTTGAAAAACAAATGTTATTTATTTACCCATGTATACAAAAGCATTACAACAAAATGAATCCTTAAATTTTCAAAATAATATGATGTCTCCATCTACATATAATGCACCAAAATATTATAAACAGATGTACCATGAGTGAGAGCAAATTATAAAAGAGGTCAACACAAAAATATACTGCAAGCAACAAGTCGCATGCAACTGACTTACTCCCCAGGCCTGATGTTTAGTATCCAACCAACATGATGATGTTTTCTTATAAAGAAAATTTTCATTTATGCTGAATATAAAACATATTTTTATCGGTTGACTTGCAGTTAATATTTATTATGTAAACAAATTGATGTATTGATTGACTTCCATTAGTTCAGAAAAATAGTAAAAGCTTTAACAAGTTTTAACTTTGAATTTTAAACAAGCATCATTGGCTTAGGGAGGAGGGCTAAACCCTCATGAGGCTCCCTGCTATGTCACTGATCCTGTACCATATGAGTCAAAATATTCCTAGGATAGTATGTGTGTAGCATTTTTAATATTTATTCATTTTCTTTTCTTAAAACCACATTTATTAATTTAGAATGACTTACGCCTTTTTTACAAATTACAGCATGTGATGCATACTGTGTAGTGAAATGTGAAGGCAAAAAAGAGAAGACCGCAGTTCTTAAAAATTCTACAGATCCATCATGGGATGCTTCATATGTATTTTATCGCAAAAAAACAGCAGAGCCTATTGTTGTTCAAGTGAGTAACATTTTAAATTGATTTTTGGATTAAAGTGGCTCATAGAAAGTAGTGAAAGTACTCTTCTAGCCTGATATTCCATCAAGTTTTAATTCCAGAAATTGCTTATAATAGGTAAGAGGGAAATGCAAGTTTTTTAACAAAATATTATTTTATTCTGTTCCTTTCTTTTTCAATCAAATGCTCTTCCAAATTTTGAATTGTTTCCAATGTTGTAATGTCCCACATTTTCATTGGAGCAAAGGAAGGTTGCCCCTGGGAAGGGATTTGCTGAAGAGAGCAAGTGTGAATGCTTGCCTTAACCAATTGGTCGCCAATAGGAGGATCCACTATCTTAATATAACTGTATGTTTTTATTGAAATGAATTGTCATCAACCTCTAATTTCTAAAACATGAAACATTTTTCAGGTGTATGACCATAGAGTGATTTCTCTAAACACTTTCTTGGGTCAAGTTCAGTTGCCTGCGCCAGTCAATCAAGGACCTACACCTCTTCAGGCTGAATTGATGGGAAGGAAAGAAAATGATTCAACACCAACTCAAGGGTCTCTCCAATTGGAAATTTTCACTAGTGATAACTTGTGGGAAGTATAAATCAGTAATTTTAATATTTTTTTAAACTTTTTTATTAATTCAAGTCATGAATGTAAAAACAAGTCATTATGATAGATATTTATTTGCACAGATACATGTGCATTAATTAGTTTATAAATATGTTGAAACAAGTTCTATTATTGGTACGTCCTAGTCACACACTAATGTTTATCAAATTGGTTCTTATGAAAATATCCATTTTATTGCAATGTAAAATATTTATTTGACTGCCATTGTGCATTTTATATTTATTTTCTTTATCGAAGTATCACATTTACTTCTTCTTTTTGTGTGTGTGGTTTTATATCCCACATTTTTCATGTTTTATGTATTGTTAAAAATGTCTTCCTTTGACAATCTATGACATTTTTCAAACATTTTCACTACTCTACATTTTCCATTTTGGGTAATTCTCTTTCAGAATGTTTCACCATATCATTTTATATCTTATTATAATTTTATATAAAAATGTATTTATAGTTACCCAAACATTGGGTATACCTACATTCAGTATTCCAAAATGTGCACTGTGCAACACTGTTGCAATAGTATGTGATGTAGTTGATAATTTATCTGATGCAGTTGAAAACAAAAAATTGAATCATTAGCCTGACATTTGTTGTGTTTCTTTCTGACAAACTAGATGCAAACGTTTCTGTTTCTTATTGTTTCTTTATAAGGAATGAAATTTGCTCATTTTTTGAGCATGTTGGCACTCTTGTCATGCAAGTCATCCATCATAGATAAAAGTTAATATTATTTTTCTTTTCCATTGTATACATCATTCTGAGATCATTCTCAAACAGTGCTGTAATATATGTTAAGTCTTGCAATGCCTAAAGGGCTGTCCATTAACTACTCTCTCTTTCTCTTCTCTTCTTTTTGTATGATAATTCAAGTCAGAATTGGTGGGCAATGCAAATTGCGCCTAACAAAAAGATTATGGACAATTTTTGAATGAAGGAACGAAACTTCTGCGAGAAAATTTGTGACATGCCATGCACATGCCATTGTGGATGATTCGTGGACCCTAAATCTACAGCACTAATTTAATTGTATGCTAGAATATATTATAGATCAGTTTTGAATATTTCTTCTTAATCTAAAAGATTCAATCAATACACCTTTGATGAAAAAATATTTTCATTTATTGTAAGGATTTATACTTATTAACTTTTTAATTTAATTTGTTAATAGTTTAATATTTTACTGTAAGACAGAATAAATGGAATTATTTCAGTAAATGTTTAAATATTTAAAAACAATATCATACGTAACACTAAATATTCAGCTCTCTACTCCTATGCAATGCAGAGTAACACTGTCTCAAATGCCCTCCCTCCTGTTTAGCATTACAAAATTTATGGATGACACCTAACATAGCATTGAATCTTAATAAATTATTCATTTGCAATGTGGAAATTTGTTGCAAAATATAAGAGTGTACTTTTTGGAATACTTTGTAGAATAGAAAATGAAAATAATACTCATATTTATCCGCTTTACATGTTTTACAGAGAATGTATTGAATTTGAAGTCCGTTATTACTTTTTATAATACATTTTGTAAATTTTTTATATCTCTATAATCTCTGTAAAGTATAACCAAAGAAATGTATATTATTTGATTAGATACATGAAAGTATAGTCAAGAAAGTTAGTCACATGATTTTGAAAATGTATTTTTTATGTATTTTATCAGATAATTTTCTGATGTGTTAGTTAATTTTCATTATTTAAGTAATAAAATATTGTTTATGTGGTTTAATATCCATGTAGTCATGTTGTAGAAAACAAAACCACAGTAAGTAGGCTATTTTATTTAAACTATTTTCCTATGATTGATTTGAAGTGCCTTTATATTTAAAAGGTGTATTCATGGCGAGAATTTCAGCAGTAAAAAGCACACCAACATGTTCCTATATTAACAATAAACTGTTTCTTTTTCTGTTTTGATTTCCAAAGCATAGATTTCTTTCTCTCTCCAAGACTCAGCATTTTCAAGACTCAATTCTTTTGTAGACTCTGGTCATTAATGTCATTTGCAAACAGCAAGTACTCTGCAATTCTGATGGATGGCCATGTGCATTTCACAGCAAAATGTCTTAGGAAACATTTATACGGCTCATTGAGGAGAAGGGTGGTGGTTTTTTTGTTGTTGTTTTTTACACAAGCAATGACTCACTCTGTACATAAGTAGTTTACATTTTAGAGTAATTTCATTATCTGTTGACAATGAAAAAATTCACTGTCAGTGGAATTCAATCTTGCCTGCATATAAAAAATATCAATTAGGAATTGAATGTAATCTAAAAACGAAAGTTGAATAATTATCAAATGTATAAATTGCATAATTGTAACATTATTAGAAAATTACATATCTTGTTACTGTAAGAATTTTAATGTTTTATTTGTAAGATAGTGTTGTTGTTGTTGTTGTCTTTTTCTTTTCTTTTCTTTCCAAAGCAACACCAATTTCAACTTAACTCTATTTTTGAAAATGTTGGCTTGAGGTGAATATTACTTCAAGAAGGAATATGAATTCGAAATGGTTACCTTTCTAATATTGAGGCAATGCTGAGAATTGTGTTAGAATAAAGAATTGAATGTAAAATTTTTCCTCATTTTCTGAATAATTATATTGAAATTTGAGACTGTTAAACAATAAATATATTTGTGGGGGAAGGTCACTTAAATCCATGCAGTAAAATTGCTACTTGACAAGCAAAAAAAAAAAACAATTTTAATGGGGAAAGGTTGGTAAATTAATTTTTTTTTTTTCCCCCCTTCCCAATCTTTTATAAGCAAGTACTTGAGTAATTTACATATCAAGTGTTGGGTGAGTTGCAAAGCACCAAAATGTGTTGTTGCACTGAATTTACATTAAATTAATGGGCTGTACACAAAGAAAAGCAGGAATTTATTGTAATGTTTATGAGAGGAAAGCTCATGCATATATATGTGTGACTAATGTGATGGTTGTAGGGCCAAGTTGCTTATATATCACACAAAATATTAAGAAAAGCATAAATGCATGTATTCATGATTTGGTTCTTAGTGATAGTACTTGTTTGGAATTCAACTTTGTATCAAATTAAGTTCCCAAGATCAATGCCTTTAAATGTTGATGAATTAGTTGTACTTTGCACTGTAGAATATGAGAATTGCTCATTGTGATATTTTTTCACTTGTGAAATGAAAGAATTGTTATTTAAAATAAATTGATGCATCACGATTTTTCCTCAAATGAAATGTTTAAAATAGCACTGTTACTGGAAGAAATGTTGAAAGTATGTTTTATCGTTACCAAACTATAAGCTAATTAGAAAATATTATTTACATGACATGTATTTTAATGTTGCATAATCACATTATATTTATATACATACCATTCTGATTCATAAATATAGAAATAAGTTTGAATAGATTTTTACTTCTCATTAACTCTTGTTCCAAGATGTATAATCAATTTATTTCATATATTTGGTTATTTTGTTGTAAATTCTTGAAATTTTATACATAATAATTCTGGTAAGAAGTTGTCAAAAACCGGTCACTTATATAGAATAGTAATTCAATGCACTGTTAAAAGATGAATGAGTAGGCTTATTGAAAACAAGAAGTTATTTCTAACTCATTTTGTTGTTAAGTAATTAGATGTGCATATATATTTTCTGACAACGATCTACACGTTTTAACTTTTTGCTGGCCTCTGGTGCTGATTACAAGATACCCAGTGACAAACGTGTGAATTCTTTAACAAATATACTCATAATTACATAGAGACGAATCTCATTTACTAAAGCTATTACTTCATAGTTTTGAACAATATTGACAATACTTCAGTAGTTATGAATATTTCATAACAGGGAGTGCAAACAAAATGTCAATCCGTCCATATTTTTGAAAAACTAATCAGTTTTTCAAAAAAATATTAGTGAAAGAAACATGACATGTTTTTGTGTGTGCTGTTCATCATTGATGTTTTATAATTTGCTACACAATGTCTTTCATTTTTGAATTATTGGAATTCACTTAAATGAAATGAGATTATGAAAGATAGGAAAGTATTACCACCATAAACATAACTTGAGATGGCCAGTGAATAAACGAATCCTCCTATAATTATAGTATTCAGTACACTCCCTCTTTCCCAGCTACGTATGGATTGGCACCAGATCAGGTCACGATTTGTTCAGTTAAACCATCATCTCCTTAAAATATATATATATATATACACACACACACACCATTAAATTTCACTCTTAACATAGTCATGCTATACAGTACTTATAAAAAATATAATCTCTGAAAGTAATTGTGTATTTTCTTTTTTCTTTACGGTTAGAGACAGGTCATGTCATCTCAATGTTAACGTCAACATCTCAACATTAGAGACAGGTCAACTTCATCCCAAATTCATGACAGCCAGTTAAAGTGGAGGCCAGTTCAAAGATGGCTGGTTAAGAGGGAGTGTATTGTATTATGTTGCACATGCAAATAAAACTGTAGACACTAAATAAGACTGGAATTGTATATTGTCTATATGATTTACCATATGTATCACTATGTGTGTAATCCATTGTGAAAGATGAATACATAAAATGACATACCATGAAATGACTTTTAGTATGTAAATACCCATCCTTGTCATTCCTTCTTGTTTTTGCTCATTAGATTGGGAAGAGTAAAGTGTTAATTATAGTGTTGTTTAATTATATCTTTTTGACAATGATTTCAGATACGTTGTTAATGTTTAAATTCCAGTTCAGGTTAATTGTATAAACAAACACCAAGAAATATTGAGAAATAAGTGATAAGTGATTTCCAATGTTGTTACAAGCAAATTAATTTTGAAAATAATTTGACGTGCCTTCCAACATAGTTTTCTTTCCCACTAAGATAGCTCAGGGCAACTGTTGAATCAGTAATTTGAAAAGGGAAATTAGTGCTTGTTCCATATATAAAAAAAATAAAAATAAAAAATTCAAATTTGCATTTCTGTGATGTACAGAACCATTTTTATATCCATGACTTATTTCCTTTATAAAATAATTATGAAATATTTTTAAAACTTGTTTTTTCTTTCTTTATTTTTGGACCTATCTAACAATATAATCATAGAATAAATATACAATGATGTGAATTAACATATTTTGCGATGTGGACATGAAAAATACTCTTACTAAATTATTAATATCAGCAACTGCTCATCATCAATTTTCACTTAAGTCTTTGGCTATGTCAAAAATTTTTGGTAGAAATGGTGATATTCGTGCAGGATGTAATTTACTGTTTTTTGATCATCAGTTATTTTCTTTCTGTTGATTGGAAGAACAGATGAGCAATAAACTTTCTTGAAGGGCAAATCTGGATGTGCCTTCCCTTTCGCCAACATGAATGAGTACTTGATAAGTCCATCAATACATGTACTCACATGCCACAAGGTAACTAAAATATTCTGTTATACATTAGATGCTTTACTAGGAAAGAGTCACACTACTCACAATTAGGACTGTCAGGAGGAGCAAGACAGAACAGAAAAATATTGCTATTCTCCTTTTACATATTATTTAATAGATCACAAAATTAAATGATGGTATTGTGTCTCTATACATTGTAGTGTTTGAGAGCTATATTTATTGCTCTCAAACTGGTTTGATCTGGTAAATCCTGAGTTTAAGATTTTGACTATCTCTACCTGGATGCAATAAACTGAAAGAGAGAAATTTATCCTGTTTGTTCGCAGATTGTAATGAATAATTTTAAAAATTTATATAAGATTCATGTTGTTTATAAATAAATTGTGAGTTATTTTATGTTATGTTTTTTTCTTCTCTTGCTATCTTTGGGCTATGTAGTTAGCCTATCTAGCCCAAAACACACACCACTGCTCTTATTCGATAATATCTAAATATGAAAGACAACAGATCAAAATGTATTAATTCTTCAGATAAAATGTAATAAATTTTGAAGTTCTATGGGACAAAAATTAACATTTTCTGACTGTTTTTTCATTTTATAAAAAGAATTTAATATTTTTTTATTATGACATATCTTTGATGTACTTTCAGAGTTAAACAACTAAATATTCTGTATAATATTCACTTATCATATCTTTCCATATAATATCTATGTATAGTCAAATTCAGAGTGCATATTTTTGAAAGACAAAATGTGTAATGTAATCAATGGAAGTATTTAAAAGACCTTGATTTCTTAATGTTTTTTTTTTCTTCACATACAAGAGAAAATACACTTGTGAGAAGACAAAGGGTGACTTTGGTCTCTTCTAGATGTACATCATAATTCACTTTCACATGATTGTTTTGACATGTAAAAAGAATTTAGACAAGCATCTAGGAATTAACTCTTTGCAAGTCATTTTTTCTCCATTACAGTCTCTTTAAACTAAAATTCCATAGTAGAGGCACACCTGTGACTTAAATATTAAAATAAATCATTTACACATTCATTTAATAAGAAGCCTTTTTTACCACTTATTTTTGATGAACTACAGGATGAAAATTCTATGATACCAAAGTCAAGTTTGGTATTGGCATTGTTTGTCCTTAATCCATTAGTAAGAATCAAAGGTTAGAAGTAAGTTCTGATGAATAGCTCCCTTCTTCTCAGAACTTCATTTCTTAAGAAATAATTATTATTAAAGTTTAGAGGATGAAGGAAGGGTGCAAATAGTTGATTAGAAATTGAATAACAATTTTAAATGATTAGTATTGAAATCGGCATTTAATGAGATTCATACAGTTAGAAGAGCATTTTAACATTAGTATACACTTTTACTTGATGTGATATTATTCCAAAAGAAATAAAAAAGAACAGACTTGAATATACAGTAAAAATACACTGAACCATATAAAAAAGTAAATAAGTTCATTATTAGTTGAATAATTCTTAATCCAGATGAGTATGTTTAAGAAATATTAAAAATATACTCCACCTGCCATAAAATATTTCAAACTTCTACACTTTACAAATAAATGGTACAAAGCAATATTTTTATACATTTTTAACATAACATTCTCATTAGCGTTCAATGCTCATAGGTCCAAAATACCATTTCTTACAGGTAAACTTCAGATGACAAGAAATAAGTGACATTCATTAATTTGTGTTTTATTGCAGAAAAACGCATCTTCACAAATATCACAATAAAAATTTAATACAGTGAAACCTGTATTAAGAGACCACTTGGTTCAATGATAAAGAGGCTTTTGAGAGCAGGGTAAAGGAATAAAGAGAATTTTTTTTACATGGTCTATTATTATTACAAGTCATCCCATATTTTGAAAAGTGCCTGTTTTCCCCTAATAAACATATTTTAAGGCACAAATCAAGAAAATAGAAACTTTTTTATGACATTTAATTTGCTTCACTTGATATTAGAAATAATCATTTAAATTACATTCAGTTATAGTATTTCCCATAGTTTCTTTTCTGTTGGTAACAAACCTCCATTTTCTTGAATAGACTCATATTATTTGGGTATATATTACACATTCTGTATTTTAGGAGCCCAAAATCTTGCTTTTCTTGCACTTCTTCACACAATTAAAAACAAATCAAGGAGAGGATTTTGGGGGAACACTAGGCAGAGATTCTGGATGCAAACCAAACACTCATGTGTTAGGAGGCAAGCTGATAACTGTGACTTCTATCACTGATATTCTACAGTGCTTTTGGGAAGGAAAGGCAAGGAAGGTTCTGTTGCTTCAAAGAATTAAACATTGGGTCACTTTCATATCTGACATTACATTAAAACAAATGAAATTGAAATGGAGTAAGCAGTGTGGAATCATATCATTGGCCACAGTATTTTTTTACATGATTCCTGGAACCTCCCCTCACTTCCAAACTTACTCGAGGATTGAAGCTCAGTCACAGAAATTCAGCGTAGTGTATTCTGTCAATTTTCTTGAAAGTGATGTCTTTAAAGGGGTAAATTAAGAAAATTGCTAATAAGGGGCTGGTTGATGGTTAGAAAGAGGGTTGATCTGCTAAGAGGGGTAAGATTTACATTCAATATACAGGTTCAATAAAAAAAAGCTAGTTGAGAGAGGTGGTTGTTTAATGAGAGTGATCTTTCAGAGAGGTTTCATAGTCGTGTTGTGAAGGTGGAAAGGGTGTGTAAAAGACAAGATACCAAAATTAAGAAACAAAAGTTGTAATTATTGCAATATACCCACATTTAAATGATTGCAGACAACTTCTTTTACTGTATGTTGTTTTTATTTTAACCTGTTGTTTAATAAATAATTTGTTCAATTCTGAATGTTGCCATATTTCAAAGGTACATTTATGTCACTATCAATACAAATAGGTTGGAATCCTGTATTTATTACATTTAATTACATTCTGAGGTACTGGGACATTCATTCAAAATATACTTCTTTTTTTTCTATAAAAATCCATCACCATAGAACCCACACAGATTAAAACCTGTGGCAGCTATTGCTGAAAATATACTGAAATGTATACAAAATATTTTTTATTCTAGTAGGAACATTAAAATCTCTCACTACTATATCTGCATTCTCATATTAATATAATTATTAATTTTTTCAATGATAATTGTATGTTATTTCTCATTTATATGTATTAAATGTGAATCTTCACAGAAATGGAATGGAATGTATCACATTAAAATCAAATCATCATTAATTTCAAATGGTCTGTATACAAAATGTCTGAATTATTTTAAAAAGTTGCTGATCTACTTAAAAATAATATCATAAAATCTTAAATTATTGCAGATACTATTAAAGAAAAAGTTATTGTCTATTATTATTTAATTATATAAGACGAATGAGTTACCTTATTGTGACCAAAATCAATATGAACATAATAAATATTTTTGCCAATGGGACCCGTTCAAAAGCGCCCCTCAGGAGATGTGGCCTCCTTAGTAGACCTGGATGTGGACCTATTGGCTCTTCTCTTATACCACCACCAGCATTGTTGCATTATTGAAATCAGCAAAATAAATCAATACTAACCATTCAACTAAATAATACAGTAATGTTAATCATGAAAAACATCTGGACCAATAAAAAAAATACTAGAAAATTCAGTCAAAATCACTTTTTATAATTCCAGTGAAGATATTTTCTTGTTTTCAGTAGCTGAGTTATGTAATATTCAACTTTTTGCAACATTATTTTCATTTAATTTCAACAAGGGTTTTATTTAATTTCGGTTGAAAAGTAAGAAGTTTGGCATATTTTTTAAGCAAACGACCCCAGTAGCATTTCACATCTTGCATACCAAGATGTTCCAAGATATGTTGACGGCCCCTTTGTGCAATTCCTTTAACTATTTCGTCATGTCTTTGGGCATAAGAGATGAGTTTTCTCAACGTGTCCTTGGACGCGTTCGCTGGCACTGGGATATAATGAACCCACGGCTTCAAGGACAGGTAGAAGAACTCTTGCCATTCATCCCCAACATGAAACACGAGAGAGCCGCACAGGAAAAGATGCTTGAAGCGGAAACTGGCGGCAACCCCACGGAAATTAAAAAGATAGCGGTACTGGCAATGGTCTACGAAGGACACTTCTTCGGCAGGCTGTTGCCCCAAGGTGTCAGCGTCGGATTTCCACGCCTGGTTGCGCGTGTACGCCGCGTTGACGATGTCCGGACGCTCTCTCGCTAGCAGAACCAACGGGTCGCGTTCTGAAGAGGTGCGGGATCCCCGGAAGAACGCGATGGGTTTTTTCTTCTCCCAGGGAAATCGATCGGCCGCCTGCGACAACTCCTTCCGGTGCTGGTCCCACCGCCCCAGACCGCGCGGGTACAACCCGATGGCCGGCCCGCCCTCCCAAAAGGCCCATGCTGGGTACATGATGTCGCTGTACTCGTTCGTCTTGCTGAAGGAGAAGACAGGTCGTAGAGGGCCGAACTTCTTGTTGACTTGTGGCCAATCACGAGTGTTAATGATCATCTCCATGTCGGGAAGAGTTTTTAATTGGGATTTGATAAAGTGTTCTATACCCGAACATCGCGCTGGAAACATGCAGTTCTCCTCGCGATATAAGCGGTGCCCTATTATTTGGTACTTCGTTCCACGAGCCCCAGCTTCATCTAACATTTTCTTATCAATCCCGCGTTTCTTAAATGGTTTCAAGTCTCGAATGATGACTTGGGCATGGCAGCTACAGTTTTCTGAAGAGCAAGGAACGTGTGCATCGACGGCATCTGTGATAATTTTTAAAAATTGTGCATCTTCGTTTGCTACTTCAGAATATTTTTGTTCGGAGCTAATTTCACAAGAAGAGTCGCCTTTAGAACAAGTTTCTTCTTCTTTCGACGAGGCAATGCTGAGCAGTACAACAGCCAGTGTCACAATGGTAAACGGTCCATGCATATTGTTCATCTTACGCACTCGCGGACTCCCCATTAACTTACGGGTGTTTCGTAAGTTTTGTTGAAGTTGATTAATGAAATAATACCGGTCTACTGCTTCAGAATAAAAGAAATGTCACAATGGTTGCATTTTTTCCCCTAAAATTTTAATAAACGCAATAACTACGCTCCCTACCTCTGCAATCTTATTTCAGTTCCAAAACAACTGTCAAGAACTTTCTTAGGGTAATATCATTATAATTTAATTCGTTTTGTCCGAACATGTACATGAAGGCACAAGGGCCGAACCACATGGGATAGAATACAGCAGGTGTGACCCCTCTCAAAATACCCGCGTTTCACAGATCACAAGCTCGATCAACAGCACTCTCCTTTTAAGAGAGGAGTTCTAATATTAATTAAAAAAATAAAGCAATATGAGAGGTGGCTGCTCGACACGCTTGCGATTACACGATCACGATCACGAATAGATCCGTACTCACGCACACATGCGAAATATCAAGAAATACCAACGTTGGAAAATTAATACAACGTATTTGAACAGTCGTCGTGGTACACCTGAGAGTGACATAAGCATATCGATTAGCGTGGGGGCTTGCAAGCTGAGTTCAGTATGTCAGTGGTATATTAATTGGTTTTACTTTGATAGCGTTTGCTCCTGAATTGTTTTTAAGAGGTATGAGATATTTCACTGTCATTTATTTTCAGTAGTAGTAATTATTGCAGCATTTGCATTCATGATTGGTGGAAATTATTTTGGCAAATTTTACTTACTGACCACTCCCTCGTATTGGTAGGCGTGTGCTATTTTTTGACATGCCAGTCGTTTTGGGTCGTGGGAGGCGGGTATGATGTATTGAGGAGAGAAGTGTTGTTCGGTGCTGAATATCGTCATATTGGGTGTCGTAAATGATAATACTGAAGATCCAGTAACTTACTCGAGTGCATGTTGAATATTGTAGGAAATTTCTAACGGTGTGTAATGACATGATGTCATTATTACTTTTAATGTACTTGTAATATTGTTTTTCTGAAGATGTGGTAGTGTTAGGTTGAAGATTTTTTTATTCATGGAAAATTAAATAATGCTTCATTATTTTTTAGGAATCCTATATTTATTTTTCTGATAGAAGTGAGAAGAAAATAATTTCACCATGGCTGAGCAAGGATTTCCAAGTCAACACACCACCACAACTACTGTAACATCTTCCAATACTACTGTTCAGACTAATATTAGATTTGATGCATTATATATTCGAACCTTACCTGGAATGCTCAAAGTTGGACAGATTGTAAGATTCTTGTTGGTTTTTATTTATTAATTGTTATATTACATGTGGGAACTCTTCTTAATCTGTATTGTATACTTTTGCAGGCCTTCAATCTTCTGGGTTTTATTTCCATGTTGTGTTCAATAACTCGTCACTTTTCACGAGGAGAATGGTTCAATACTGTGGCAATGGGGGGGTTTTGGTTCACAGGAATTATGTTGGTTCTTTATTTATTTCATGTTGTGGAGAAATTCTACAGAATTCCTTGGTTGAAGATTGTAAGTTTACATAAGTAGTTGCTGTAATTTCTTGAATAATATATATGTAATTTGTTTTATTACTTTTTATCATATATCTTTCAGGAATTTGTCTTCTGTGCCATTTGGACAGTATTTTACCTCATAGCAGCATCTCTTGCGTGTGCAGCTGGCAATGTCTCAGAGGCTAACATTGTTGCTGGAGTATGTATAATAAAATCAATCGTATTTTTATTCATTCTTTTTGAAAGTATTCCCAGTACCATTTTGATTGACTTCAGTATTGTTAAGTTTATGAAAATTTCTTTAACTAGGAGTTGTAATGCATGATAAATATTGGAATTGCTACATTCACAAGGTCTGTTTTTATCTCAGAAAATCCTTTGCAATGTTCTTATTCTCTGTTGCATGTTGACAATTTCTTTTTTTTCTTTTTTCTTCTTCTTCTTCTTTTCCCCCTCCATTGTATTGCCATGTTCTTCTGTTGATCAATATATTTGAACCATTGTAAGAGAATTTTATGTAATAGTTTTATATTTCATTATGTAAATGAATTATATTACTCCTTTTAGTAAAAGTTATAACATTTTGCAACTCTTAAATCCTTCACATGAACTTTCTTTTTTCAGATTTTTGGATATGTAGCAATGGTGTTGTATGCATATGATGCATTCCTGAAATTCCAAGGTATTCGAAGCGGAGCCATTGCACAGGGAGATCGGGTGGTCAATAAATCATCAAGCACAACTACGTCACCAGCCTATTGAACTGAAGCATTCTTTCATCACTTCTGTTTTGTTGTTTTAACTCAAGTATATTTAACTTTGGTAATGAAGTTGTTACAATAATCTTGAGTGGAGGAGAATTGTTATTAAACTTCTTTGGGAGATGGAATAATGAAGTTCGGACAACAATTTAAGTTCTTGACTATGGTCTAAGCATTTCAGAAAGATATAATTATTAATTTGCAACACCAATGTAATGAGCAATAAGTACAAAAATGCTTTATTTCAAACTGGGCATTGAACTTTCTGTAAATGAATACTTAAATGATATTAATTTTCTGCTTACATTGATAGCATTTTCAAGGTCAAGGTTTTTATTTTGTACAAAAAGATAAAGGAGTCTGTAGATTTTTATCTCCTAAATTTAGTTGATACTAATCTGAAGATAAAACATTGGGGCCAATTCAAATGCAATAGTGTTCATATTATTTGTTGGTACTCCTTTGAGGAAGATGCTGGAAAGTAGTTCCAAAAAAAAAAAAACATTCGTGAACTAGATTTGCCCTAAAAATCATATGATTATTCACATATTGATGATATAATAATGTTTTGTAATAACTATACTGAAGTACTTAGTTGCTCCGTCTTCTTTATATTAACAATTGGAGCTGATGAGGTTAATAGATATCATCTACAGCTACAGAATCGGAAAATTTATTATAAACCTCATAAATATGGTTTATACTTAACAGCAGCTAATAGTTTACCAATACTAAATCAGCAAAAATTAATAAGCATATTGATTTTTTCCCCCTTATTTCTTTTTGATGTAACGTGTTGCTTTATTTGTTTATTTGAATAATTTAGAAGTATTCAACCTTCATTCATGCATATCTTATCTCTGTGTTTACGTATGCTGATTAAAAAGTAATCATTTGAAGGTTCAAAAAGGTAGCCAAGGAGTAACAGACTTAATTTTAAAGTATGGGGTTCAGTTTAAAATCTTATCATATTTGCAATGGTGCAATTACTTAAAATAATAAAATAAATTTCACTGCTGTCATTGAATACATTATGATATAGGATTGGTTTATTAAACCGCAATCGGCTATTGTCTTATGGTTCATGACTGGCTGTTTCAGCACCATTGTTGTAGTCCAATATTTATGGTTTATTAGTTCATTGTGTGTTAACAGATCTGAAACAAAACACATTATAGTACACTTTATACCTTTGTGGAACATTCACTTTCTTTATACCTGGGTGAATCTTGTGAATTATTTACAAGCCAACAAATGACACCAATTTGTTTTTATGAATTCAATTTATCATTATTAAATAATTATAAAAAGCATTTAGTAAATGGGACAGTATTTAAATAAAGAAATTAATTGGGACCTTTTAACTCTTAACCCCCTCAAACCTGTTTAACTGTAACCTCACGACTCACCCACTGGACCTCTCTAACTCAAGTCATGCCAACTGGTTCCTCTCAAACTACATCCACTGGAACCTCAGTAACTCGCAACACAGCTACTGGAATCTCACTAATTCTAATCCAGTTGATTATGTAAATTTGCCACACCGGTTTTCAAAGAGATGCTATTTGTAATTGGATACACACTGTTTTTATCTTGCACCATATTGACAAATGGCAATTGATGCATCTCCGTACTTTTGATTCAAAATAAATTTTTTGAATTCTTGATTGATTCAGCAACAGACTAGTAAACCATAAAGTTTTGTATGCACCACAAGTGTTAATTGATGTTTTTGTCCCTTAGATGACTTCCAATCCCTCGGGCCAGAGATCCTTGGATTTTGAAGTCATCTGAGGGGCAAAAAACATAAAGTAACCCTTCAGGTCACAAGCCCACGGTGCCAAAACATTTACTTAATGCCCTAGATATATAAATAACTATCCTCGTTGTGAACGTCTCTTGCTTAGAGAAGCATGTTCTTGTTAGCGGTATGCTATGTTTATGTGAATGTTGCATTTCTCAACCCATGCTGTGCCTTTACCATCTGATTTGTCTGGATTTACTATTTAGATAGTATATGGTTTAATGTTACCAGGAGTTTAGATAACAATGATCAATCATCTTTTCAATCGTAATGTTATATATTGTTGCTGCAGGAATGACTCAAACAATCTTTTCCTGTACTTTTATTGATGTGAATTTACTCACAGCAATAAGCTTGCATTCACCTTGTCCTAAAATATTGACTGATTCAATTTTTTGTCACTTGAAAGTACAATGTTTGTTATAATATATATGTATATTTAGTTAATTGTCAAAAGCAATGTTTTACATCCAGTTATAAAACATTTTTATGACATCTTGACAATACATTGTCCCACAAATCAATGAAAGGACCAATGAAATATATATATATACATACATACACAAGTACACACATTATTTGTAAAACAGTATGTATGGTCGCATTCATGTATAGCTAAGAACATATCCCTTTTGCAAAATATATATGTATACAGAAACAACTACCACACATTATTTTTAACATATCATAAGATATAATAGTTTATTTACTAAGGTAATATGAATAATATACGAGATGTTTTGTGGTTTCATTGTTATAAATGTTGTCATTCCAAGAATGTTAGGTATTTTTAAAACTGAAATTACATTTATGTAGTATATTAATTTATTGATGTAATTTGCTTAGCCTTGTACAATTAAACTAATAGTTTGCAAAATATTGGTATTACCATACTGTAATTGTTATGACATTATTATGAAAACAATGTCAAAATGTTATGTACAGAATATTTTTACGAAGAAAAAACTTAAAATCAAGTTTGAGTATTGTGCACTCTAGAATATTTTTATGAAGAAACAACTTAAAATCAATTTTGAATATTGTGCACTCTCTATTAAAATGTTTAAGGTTTGTTAAATATTGTACCTCAGGAAGCACTGTTGCAGGTAAAATGTTATGTTGAAATGTCATAACTGAAATAATATTGTTAAAGTTTTTTGGAAGGTAAGGGAATTGAGAACTTGTTTCATGTTCTTTGTTTTATTACTATAGTGAATCAGGTTTCAGCATTCTCAAAAGTAATTACCATACTGAACATTTATTTGTGTTTCTTGACCTCAAGATTGTGTTGTGTGAAAGTCTCTTCCATCTTGTGATAAATGTTTTTTTTATTTTTATTTTCCATTATATATATAATTATGTCATACCAATTTTAGGAATGTTAATTATTGTAACTCGATATGGAAACATTTTTTACAAAATGTTTCATTATTACTTTTTTCTGACATTAGCAATTACTATTCTTGCATTTTTTGAAAGGAAGTCTATACATTAATTCTATTGTGTTTATTTCAACTTGGGAGAAATGTCAACACTAATTCAGGTGTCTTCTATAATTTATTTTTATTATTAGTATAAATAGTCTAAATGAAAGCTATTGTCGCTTCCAAAACATTGCTTATTTCTAGTAGTAAACAAAAAATAAAACTTGCCAAATATTCAGAATTCTTTTGGAAGTAACTTCACCTGATTGCCCATATCTCCAATGTTTTTGTACCTTGTGATTAGGGTGAGGTTTTTTCCTACAGAGTCATATCTATTTTGCCACGTGTGGTTTTGTATATACAGCAGACAACTATTTTTCATAAGCTGGCATTTACTATTGTTTATACAGATTACAAAGAATTCAGTCAACAAATCTGACCAAGTCATGTTGGGACCAATAATTTTTGTTGAACTACAAATTTATTTCAGAAATTGTAACAAGATACACAAATATTTATTAGATCTGTAAATTTGAACAAAATGGAAGATATTCAAGAAGGTAACTACTGATTGGATTTTGTTAAAAAATAAAACTTGGCAAGTAGTAGATCTAAATCTTGATGGCATCTTTTAATCATCTACATTGTGATGAAATGTATACTGCAAGTAAATTATGTATGAAACTAGTATATTCAGTCTTGAAACCAAAAATGTGCTTGTTTTTCCCTGCATTTTACAGCAGATGTTGTTTGTTTTTTTTGTAACTGACTAAGCCTTCTCTATAATGACACCTAAGCAATTAACCAGTCATTGTATTTTTGTCTACATATTAAAACATAATAGAATAATGGATGTAATTTACTTATAATTTTCTTTATGGACTTTTATTTTTTAGGTGTGAATATACCATATATACCCATATGTATTTCCTAAATATCTCATTGGAAAATTAATGCGGTGGTCTTATTCGCAGATAGAGTGTAATCTGTTGTGATTTGGTTTTACACTGTCTTACCACGTTGGACACCAATGCTGACATCACAAAATGCAAAGGTGATAAATATTATGCATATCTATAATTTGTAATTAGATTTGTGGACAAATTTTTGGCTTCTACAGCTAATTTGCCAAGCAATTTAGACCAATGGGTCATGTAATAAAAGTAAATGCTCATACTAGACGCTTTTCAACCACTTACTTCGGTTTTGGTGAATAAAACTTCAGTACTAGCTTTTACTTACTAGTAAATGCTACTTACTTAAAATAAGTACTTAATCTCTTAAAATAAAACTTTTGCAGCTGTTCAACGTGAATAAAATTAAGCTTTTGCTTCTTTTTCCAAGTATACACTGTGTTTTTGAATGAGCTGGTAAAGAGAGAATCTCAAATGAATGGCATTTGACGCAATGTTTATTTCCGAACCTTCATCTAGTGAAACCCTCAAAATAGTTAACTATAATAACTGTTTGGTTTGGATGAATTTCTGAATTGTTTATTAAAAACTTGTGCTCCTGCCTTTGTACATACAATACTGCTTTATGCACAGGAATGTTTCCAGATAATTTCAAAACAGCAAAAATTAATTTTTTTTAAAAAAAGGGAACAAAAATTAAATTAAAACATTATCGGCCATTTTCTCTTTTGTCAGTTTTCTCAAAAATATTAATGAAGCTTTTCTATATCAAATGGAAATTGTTCTTTTCTTAAAGATGTTCATTAATGGACCAAAACGAAGCACCTTTTGGAATATTTTTAGATCTTTCGATACCTTTTGAGGTTATTGACCATGACGTCTTGGTCTGAAAATCACCTTCATATGAAATTCGTGGTATTGCCTTAGATTGGATAACCTCGTACCTTAAACATATATTTCAAAGAGTAGAAATAACGGCACGAAAGAACTCCAATTTTTTGCCAATTGAACATAGGGCACAATCCTATGTTACACCTACGTAAACGTTATGCCCATTGAAAATGAACTGGAAAATGAAAGAACAGTTCTCTACGCTGATGACACGAATGTTCTTTAAAGAAAGAAACAATAGGATTTGAGATGTTTCAAATTGGCTTCGTAATAAATAGTTGACGAAGGACAAAACAGTTGTAATGCATTTTTGCATTTCAAATAGACAATCGCATGCTCCATTGTAAATGAACAATTTAATAAGTTGATGTTAAGGTAACACTACAAGAGGAATGCAACATTAAAACGAATACGTTGCCGAGATTTTGTTGCAGAATATTCGAGGCTGCGCGGTCTCGAGATGCCCGGCTTCGCGCAGCCGTTCGACGAATGCGTTTGCGAGAGAAATGAAATTATTGAGTGATGCTACAACTCAATCTTTCTTGCATTATTTATAACTTTGGCAATTTTCGAAAATGTGACCTGTGCCAGTTTTTTAAGCATTCTTTGAAGATAAATTGAAGCCTTTTTTTATAACAATTTTCTTTTGCCTTTAGTTCAAGAAAAATGACGCGAAAACTACTCGAATTTTCAAAAAAATATACTTGACCTTAATTAAAATCGAAATGCTATAGAACATATTTCTTTAAGGAAAAACCTCTCTCGACATAATTGTTCTTAGGCAATTTTAATTTCTTTTTGTTGTTGTTGTTGCAGTTTTTGAAAAACAGAGTTCACCGAATTGAGACAATGTTCTAATCAAGAAAAGTATGTGGAGCGTTTTTAGAAAATAACTGCTTAAATATGGCCTTATGAATTGTCTTTTTGCAATTTTCGAAAATATAGAGAATTCGCAGAAAATGACTATGTTGCTCTTTACGAGAAAAAATTTAAGAAATTTGGTCTTTTTAGAAAATGATTATTATATTGCCTATATTTCAGGCAATTTTTACGCGTTAAACATTCATTTTTTTAAAAAGTAAATTGGATGTTTAACTAGTGGTGCTACAGAATGACATAGACTTTCCTGTTTTGTTTTTCTATTTCCTTTGGTCTCGGCTGACTATTCGAACTTGCCACAAACCTGTCGATACACTTGCCTGCTGTCATCTATCGCCGTTCCAAGTACTTTTTCTTAATTTATCGGTTTCCTAATAAGAGAACGGAAATATTATTATAAGGATATTAAAGAACAGTAAAACGTCGTCGTAAATGGCAGTTTTCTTTAAAAAATTTGGAACCGTTTTTAAGAAGTGGCGCTTAAACGCTACAGTAATTTCGAAATTTGAAGCATTTTTTCACAGAAAAGTTTTGAGTTCTCGAAAAACTTCATTTGAAGCACTTACAACAAAATAATAGTGTTTACAAATTGCTGCAAATGTGCATATCAACGGCGTGAGAGATCTATCAAAAAATACAATTATGTAATTTGGGAGAGGAAAAAAAAACACATCGAAGTGAATTTTACGGCATATTAAAGAGTGTAATCAGCACTATCCTTTCAAAAAGTTTGAAGAAAGAATTTGGGGCCGTTTTTTTGAGAAAATGGTGTTTAAGCGTTTCTGAAAATGCAAAATTTTGAGCTAGTTTTCACAGAAAACTGTTGAGTTTTCGAGAAGCTTACATGACATTATTTAAGGCAAATGTACTCATAAATATAATAATGTGAACAAATTGCCGCAGTTTAAATATTAACGTGAAAAAATAAGCCAAAAAAATTAAATTTTTATAATTTTTGAAAGAACATTAGAATAGAACAATATGACTTTTATGTCATCTTATGGAGTGCATTTAGCACTATCTGTACCAAAAGTTTACAAAAATATTGGAGCTGTTTTCGAGAAAATCTTATTTTTGTATTTTTTAAATTGCTCGCAATATTGCGCGAAAAATAGTAAAATTTTGAAAAAAATGTACATGACCTAAATAAAAGAACTCACTATGGAGAAAATTTTCATTTGAAGGAAACCTTTGTATCTTTAATTTTGTTGTTGCAGGAAGACCCCGAAAAAATTCAAACTTTTCGAAAATTTAAAGTTAACCGCGAAAATAGGCCCTATACCACATTTGTAAGTGTATTTTACTCTATGCCGACAAGAAATTAAATAAAAATTTGAGCCATTTTTGAGAAAATTTTAGAAAATATCCCAGGGTCTTTCGTAAAACCGAATAATGTTTTTCAATCGCAGAGCTTCGACTCAGGCCAAATGGACAGGGGTTTCTTCAATTTGAAAAAAATCCTACCCTTGGTTTAGGCGCTATACTATGTTTTTCGCAACTCTGCCCCCGGCAAGTACCAGCTGTTGACAATTTCATCCAATCGGGAGCTTAAACGTCACCATAGTAACGTCACAATGGAGATGTTCAAGCTCCCGATTGGATGAAACCGTGAACAGCCGATAACTGCCGGGACAGAGTTGCATAAATCCCAATATAGTGTTGTTCACGATCACCGGACGAACGTTTTGAAAAACAACACCTTTTTGGTATCAGATGCCCCCGAAACGTGTATTTCCATTGATATTTCGAAATCGATTTTCCGCAGCATTACATAACTTTCCCTATACTACGTATATTACTCCGTATATACTTATGTAACGGAACGGAAAAGTAAAACTTGGAGCCATTAAGATCAGGAGCTCTCTCTCTCTCTCTCATTATATACATGTGTATGATTAGGTCTGTGTGCGAGGTGTGTGTGTGTGTGTGTGTGTGTGTGATATGATTTGCAAAACCAACCACAAGAACAGTAAGTGCGTATAATTGTAAATAATTCGTGTTTATTTTGCTAGCTTTGCAGCCACTGAAGACAATAACATCCGAAGTTATGGATTCTGTGTTTTAATGCAATGATTATGAATATACTATTCTTGACTTGAGTTCAAAATATTGAGTGGTTTTTATTTTAAAATGCGATTAAAGTACGGTTTTGATCAAACTTTTTCCTGCTAGGTCCTGTTACCTTTCCTGTAGGTCATGTTACCGCTATTAAAGTGACATTTTAATCCCGGAGGTATTACAGTAACAGCAAAAAATAATCAAACCAGAAATGACAATGTGAGAAAAAGTTACTTGAAGTTTTCAACGTTTTCCTTTACTTGTAAAGATACTTTAAGTATGGAATAACAATTCTAAAGTGATGAAGACACTTAGGATTTTAATTTATTGTGAAAGTAATAAGCGAGTAAAATATCCTCCGAAAACCCCCTCACTTGTCATTTCCCCATCTGCAGAAAATATTTTTTTTCTTTCTCGTAAACAAGCTTCGATTTCTCTCTTGTGATACATTTCAAAAAAACTATTATTAAGTGGCATACATTTATAGAACACTCCACTCACAGTGTAGTACAAACAGGTGTCCGGAAGCTCACAATATTAAAAAAATCCCACATTCTATGTTGAGTTCACGATAGAATCAGTTTCTTCGGGGAAAAAATTGACAACGAAAAAATTGAGTTGAACACTTCGTCTGTCCCAATGTAAAATATATGGAATCTTCAAAAGTCCAGATAATAAACTTCAATAATAACGTCGGTATACAAAATGTCTCACCAACGATGGGCAACCCCCATAACTTTAAACGGTACCCGATATCGAAATGCAGTTTTCCCTCAACAATACGAAATCATGTCGAAAGTAATGTGCTGTGGAAATATTGTTCGAAATATTTTTAGTTTTCGAGAAATTTAATTTTCTTTGATTTTTTAAATGGAACCTTGTATTTTTTTCATTATCTGTAGATCAGGCACCAGTTTGTCGGGCCGACCGGCCAACAAATTGCATTGTGTGGAGACAAGTTGTCCACAACAGAAATTTTTGTCGGGCGGTTAGTTGGTCCTGACCACACGAACGCCGATTCCCCCACCATACTGCCAGACAAATTGTGTAAGTGTTGGGCCAACTTAGTGATTCCAGACCTCAAAAATTTAGTAAAATATGAAACAGTT